CTCAGGAGGCCCTCGGCACACAGATGAGTAACTGTTTCCTGGAGGAAGGCTGTGTCCGACTACACTGCTGAACTAGCTGCTACTGTTTTAACTGAGTGCTCTTCCTGATCCCTCCTCCCAAGTCCTGCCCAGTTCCAGACCCTACTTGGCTTCCAAGATCAGGTAGGATCAGACACTCACTGTACGGCTCTACATCTGTTTACTTTCTGGGGGGCCAACTACCAGTTGTCAGGCTCCAATACCCAGCAAATGTTTTTAAAAAAGTAAATAGAGCCTGTCACTCGAGGAAAACAACTGTTATGGTTCTTGACAACATGAGAGCATTTCAAGCCCCCCACTCACTCCAAGATATACTAATTGATAACTTTTTTTTTGAGACAGGGTTTCTCTGTGCAACAGCTCAAGCTGTCCTGGAACTCATTCTATAGACCAGGCTGACCTCAAACTCACAGAGATCCTCCTGCCTCTGCCTCCCGAGTGCTGGGATTAAAGGAGTGTGCAGCCGCTGCCAGGCTTCCCCAAGATATACTGTTTTCTGATACGTTGTTTCTTTGTGTTTTACTGGGAAATGAAGGATGGCAATGATACTTTGTCCTTCGTCTAGGCACAAGCACTCCAGAGAATAACCCTGAAGTGCTTTCTGTAATGCCTGCCTGTGTCAAGAGCTAAACTGAAGCTGCTTCCTATCACAGTGAGGCCGAGTGAAGCATCGAAGCATCACATTGTTTGTTTGTATCAGATTTAAACAAGCTCGAGAGTTGATGGAAACAACATATTCATGGCGATCCCCAAGTAGACACTTCTGGAAGGTAATTCATAGTTCTTTCATAACAGGAAACAATACAAAGACAATGGGGTTATAATGAAGTCTTAACAGTCATTTAATATTGAATTTTGGGAAAAACTCTCATTTCTCTAGGAAAATAAATAGGTCTCTGTGTAGTGGCTAAAAAGGCATGTAACAACACAAAATCTTATCAGAATATCTCCCAAAGCTGATGCTTGTGTTAATTGGACTTTTGTATCGCTGTGACATAAGATCTGTGAGAAGCAACTCAAAAGCTGGAAGACTGACCGTGGTTCATGGTCTCTGAGGGATTGCTCCATCATGGCTGGGAGAGCCTAGCAGAGCTGAACAGTTCTCACCATGGCAACCAAGAAGCAGAGACAAAAAGGGAGGAGGAAGTGGTAAGACATGATCCCCCATGAGCTCCTCCCTCCAACAAGGTCCCTCCTACACCTTCATTGTCTCCCAATAATGTCACCTTACTATGAATCCATCAATGGATCAATAATTCCACTGATGAGGTCAGACATCTCAGGATGTAAGAGTTCTCTTTGGAGACCCTCCCCAGACTAGCTAGAAGTGTTTATTAACCCAATTAGGTTGGCAGTCAAGATCGCCATCACAATACTTGAAAACAGTCCCCCGCAGCACCAATGCCAACGTAAACAAGGCCATCTGTGCCCTGACACTCTGGAAGCTCCTGCACTGAATGATGGCTCTATCATTATGCAATTAGCATTGCCTCTCACCCGATTAACCAGATGTGTTTTCCAAACATTGATAGCACCCCTATCGGTGCTTCGGGAGGGTCAGTGTCAGTGTGAACTGAGATCATGCAATGTTTTGGGCGCAGATGTGGAGAAGGAAAGATGAAGTCAAAATAGATTGGGCAGTAGTAAGCTAATATTCAAGGGAAGGAGGGGAGGGAGGCAGAGAGGAAGGAAAGGTGGGTAGCAGAAGAGGTTATGAAAAGCGGTAGGCACCATTTGGTGGGACACAGAGACGCTCTTGAAGCGCGTTCTCCAAATGCTTCCAGCGTTTGGGAGTGGCTGAGCCCATCTTGTGAGAGCAAAGCTCCCCGGATCTTGTGTGGGACCATCCAAAGCCTGTGGAGTCTCTACAAAGCCATGTGGTGGGCTTGCTCACCCTGTGGGGAAAGCGCCTGTGTCCTTGGAAAGGGCATTTCTCTACAAACAGTCACCGGGCTTCTCTACTCAGGAATTAAACAGTGATACTTACACAGGAGTCAGAAGTCAGTTAAGCTTATCCTTGCACTTGCCCCTTTGGTGAGGAGGGAACACGGTTCCTGAACATTCCTCCTGCTGGGTTGGTGGAGAGCATTCCCCCTTGCGCCAAAGCAGCTTAGGCCTGAAGGGGTGGGACGGGGTTCTCCCTAGGCCTACGCCTTAGGGGGAAAGTCACTGCTGTCCTGAGAGGGTGGTGCGACATCGCACAAGCTCACAAATAGCCTGAACACTGTCCCTCAAGACCGCCACAGCACCAGAGCCTGCCTGCCAGTTCCAGTCTAGGAATCCTGATTGCTGTGTCGGTTGTTATGGAAACAGACCACACTACTTCCTAAAGAATTCATTATTCCAACCAGTCTATGTTTTCACTACTTATAGGTCATCCAAATGAGCGGCTGAGACCGCAGGGACAAGGAACTCCAAGGGGGCAACGCTGGCGATCAGCAAAAAAAGACTTCGTCCAGGAGCAGGAAGTTAAGCCCGACCTTGAGTGACGGGAGACCAGCCACCCCCCAGTGAAACAGAATGACAAGGAGGCCAGCTCAAGAGATCACAGGGTGTAGACAGAGCTGGAGCCAAAGGCTCACCTCTAGCAGGGAGGACACTGGGTCAGCCAGCATACAGTACCGAGGACAGTCTTCTGGGGTCTGTCCCGTCCTGCGGGAGCAGATGGGACTTGGATACAGGCAAGAGCGGCTGAACTATTATTCACAGCGGTGAACGTGTCCACCTAGGTGCTACCGGCTCTGCAGCTCCTGCCGCCGCTCTGGCTGCAGCTAAGATACTAATAGCAAAGCTGCACAATGCAGGAATGTTCTTTTTCCGGAGACAGGGTTTTGCGTAGCCCGGGCTGTGAAAGTCCTTTTGTAGTCAAGGAGACCTTGACGGAGGTCCTCTGTATCCACCTGGGCTGGCGCGTGCTAGCTCTCCTGCCCACTCCTGCCCACCCGTCTTCTGTAGACAGAGCCACATCTGTACCTCTGACATCTCGAGGCTCTTGTTAAATTTGACCCAAACCGCCTCTAGCTACGCCTTCGTATTCTCAGGGACTTCATGACCTCAGGCTGACCTGTGGTAATACACTCATTCTGCTGTTTGTTGCCGCGGCCACTTAGAACCCAGACCTCAATTTTAACAGAAGTCTCAGAAAAAGAGAAGTCAGTTCCCTGTATCACAGTGGCTTTGTCCCTTTGTCCGCACCGTAAATTTTTTTTCCAAGCAGAGCAACTGCTGACCAATAAGTAGAAGGACAGGAGAATTTGGTCAGAAAATTCTTCTGTTCAGAGAAAGGGGAACTGAGGGTTCTGTGAACCCAGAGGGTCTCATGTCCAGTCCTGCTGTCTACGATTCCACGCTGTGCTCTTTGGCTCGGGCACAGCTCTTTGTAGCAGGTGAGGTGAGGTCTTCAGCTATGCCCCTACCAGGGGTGACATCTGACAAGGTATTTCCAAGTCACACGCTGTGAGTCACATCACGGGAAAACTGGAAACAATATTGCCAGAGGCACCAGTGCCAACCAGAAGCCATGCTGTGCTGCTGCGTGATTAAAACCACGTGACAATGAAGGGTTCCTACTCTGGATTCTAGGTATCGACTTTAAAGGATCTATCCTTTCCCTGATTTGGTTTCCAAGACTAAAAATCTGAACAGAGAGTAAAATATAGTATGGTACAAGGAAGGCTTCAAGTCTCGAAAACAGAATTTCAGTAAGCCATAAGCAGGACCGATTTTCCTTTGAAATGAAAGGTAAAGGTTAGGACTCTTGTCTCCAGACGGCCACCAGGTGACTGAATGACACTGACCAGCCTATCAACTTCTCCGGGTTTTATTCTCCCTACCTGACAAGGAGGGAGATTTACCCCAGAGGCTCCCAAGGTAGTGTCCCAAAATCAGCATACATGACCAGAAGTTGATCTGATTGTATTTCCCTGAGATTGACACAGTTGTTTTCCCATTCTTGAAGAGGTAGGGAATCATTCACTATCTATAAGTATAAATAGATACTTTTATGGAAAATGGACAAGGGGTGGGTATTTGCATACACACACACTTGAATAATAGACAAGTGTGTGTATGCAAACATTCCCTCACACACACACTTGAATAATAAACAGGAGAGTGTAACTTTGGGGATGCCTTCTGTTGACTCGACATGTTTGCCGAGGGCTGGGGATTGAACCCAAGACCCTGAACATCACTGTCAAGAGCTCTTGTCACTGAGCCACACCTCCAGTTCCTCCCCACATTTTAAACTGTTGCATGACCGTTCATTCCTGTCCACAAGTAAAGCTATTCTCTACACAGCGATCTTGGCTAAGTCCCTTAGCTTTCCTGAGTGTCAGTTTTCTTGTCTGTGCAAGAGAGACGGAACGGGGCTGGGCTGCCCAACTGAGGCGACCTAGATCGTGGCCGGTGCACACAAGGTATTCATCTTGAGGAATCTTATCCCACAGGTTGTTAGAAGGTATCAGTCTCCTAGGACACTGAAGAAATTAATCTTTTTGGAGTGTGTGTGTGCTGTTGGGGGTCAGACCCAAGGCTTCACACATACGAGGCAAGGTGCTCAGCCCCAAACTAGACTATTTTGCTGTGAGCTGTGCAGAATGTAGTGTGTGGCGAGGGAGGAAATGTTCTCACTGTGCATCTAGCTTAAGTAGAGGGTGGGCAGTCAGATAGCAAAGGTGAGTGTTGGACATTAACACACAGCATCCCCTTAGCCGACATGTTCCACTGCTGGAGAGCTGAGCTCGGGGGCTGAGATTCCTACAGCCCTGCCTTTTCTATGCTGAAAAGCAACAAGGCAAAAAATAACAATAATAATTGCATATTTGTGAACACAACCATCTGGAAACCTCAGGGGTATTATTTTGATCAGAAAAGGAATATGATTTCAAAGCAGGTCAGAATGAGAGATGAATACAACGTTATTAATGACTATTTCAGAAAAGTTGAGAGCAGTTACTCACCCATCAGGAAAATAATTTTACATTTCCTCAAATCCTCCATTAAGCCTGTAAAAGAAGAATAATTTAAATGATCGGCAAGAAATGCTGCACCAAAGCCCTGACCCTACTCGGGTTCTGAGGGTTGAGTTCATGCGGGTTAAACAGGCTGTGAGGAACGGTGGTGCTGGTGATTGCTTTGGCTTCCCCGGACGCAGTAGTTTTATTTAATTAAGATTTTTTCCCTAAGCGTAGAACTGACACCATCAAAGAGTGTGGCTCACAGGCAATGTCAATTCCCTTGTCTGCTTTGACTTGGGGGTTTGTTCCTTTGTTTCTGAGACAGGAGCTCACTGTGTGTCCCACGCTGGCCTCAAACTCAGCTAGACTCTGCACTCCCCATGCTTTTGCCTCAGCTCCCCGAGTGCTGGGGTTACAGGTGTGCTCTTCTTAAATATTAATCTTAAAGTTTCTACTTAGGTTTTCTTAAATATCCATTTGATCTTTCACTTTAGAAATGTAGCGCTCTGCTTTCGTGGGGATTTCATGTACACACAATGTACTGGATTGTATTCATTCCCAACCGTCCCCCTGCGCCTTCTAGATCCACCCCACCCTGACCCAGTGTCTCACGTTTGCAACCATCCTGCCTAATAAAGGAGAAATTAACACGCAAGATGTCTAGAAGACAAAAATAGTTTGTGACTAGAGCAGACAATGCCATTTCTATCTGAGGTTGTGGCGCAGAATTCCCTTTAAAATACCTATATTCATCTACCAAGCATGAGTCAGTTTGTAGAACAAGACCAAACAAGTAGCACATGGCAAAAATCATGACAGTGACAACAAGGTCTGAATTTGGGGAACGGCTGCTTTAAGGAGAGGTGATTTAAGATAGGGAAAAGCATGAAGACATCTGGAGTTAGTGGGATCCTAAGTGATTTCGGACTGCCAGGTGTTGGAATGGGCACCTGAGGGGTAAGAACATAAGCGCTACAATCCTGGTCCCACAAGCAACAGGCTTGACCTACGCAGGGGAGGATTGGGGCATGGTGGTGGTGAGGATTGTGGTTGTGTGTTTTTACTGGGGCATGGAACTCAAAGCTTCACACATGGGGTCAACTGCTGAGCTATACCCCAGCCCTTAAAATTTACTATTATTATTATTTACTTTATATGTTCTTACTGCTTATATGTATGTGCACCACATGTGTGCACGGTACCCACAGAAACCGAAAAGGGCATCAGGTCTCCCGGAACCAGAGTTTCTGCTGACTGTGAGCCTCCACTCGGATGCCGGGAGCTGAACCCAAGTTCTCTGGGAGAACAGATAGTGCTCCTAACTGAGGACTCGTTTCTCCAGCCTGTTCCAGTCCCTTGGTTTTTACTTTTTAATTTGGGGTGGGGGGTCTTACTAAGTGGTGCAGGCCAGCCTTGAACTCACCCTGAGTCCAGGCTGGCACTGAACTTTGGCTATTCTGACTTGGCTCCCTGGGTAGCTGGGGTTACAGGCCTGTGCTGTGGTCACGCCAGTGTCTGGAATTTTCTAGTAAGTCAGATGCAGAGCATCTCTCACATGCTCCTGCAGCCTTCCAGATTTTCTGAGGACCTTTGGGCATATTCGCAGTTTAAGAAGGGGGCCACATTTATTGCGGTTATTTATTTTGCTTTGTTTTCAGGCGAGCTCATATGGCTATACCATATTTCGGTTTACAGTTTTTTTTTAGTTGATAATCATATATTTATACAACGTAGTAATTACTAAGTTGTTCGGGAACATGCTTACATAACATTGTGCTGGAACGTGTGATGATGTTTACACATACACATAGATTCTCAGCGGGGTAAAAACAGGATGAAGACAGCATACTGAACTCGAGGCACCAACGTCATCGGTCACAACATTGTATATGGTTCTAGTTCTCTACCTAAAAATGCTTCTGTAGTGGGTGTGCTGATGTTAAAACCAGGGATGGAGGGACCTCAGACAGCAGCCCTCCATCCCACGGGTAGCACAGACAGGGCTGGCTGTGGGCGGGGCTGAGTGATTGCAGCTCGTGCTTATGGGCCTTCCCTGATGATCGGCACAATCATTTGGTGACTGCTATTCTCACACACTGCTGTTTCTATTCTCATCAAGTAACACTTTATCTAGTCCTTCATGGATCAATGTGGGAATCAGAGCTGGGGTTATTTAAAAAGCCAAATCACTTGTGTGAGTTACAGCCAATACTGTAAATCTATTTCCACAAACCATGGTGACTTTTTTTTTCTTTTTTCTTTTCCAAGTAGGCATGACACAATGTATTAACCTGGGCAATTATGAATCTCATCTTTTAAATTCACAGCATTTGATCTGTTTTCAGTCCCACGTGTAGCTAGCATGGAGTGGATAGCTTAGTTGCTAAGGGACGGTTTTTTGTCTTTTTCTTTTTCTTTTTTTTGAGATGTGCTAGCCTGACACTTGCTGTGCAGTTGAGGGCAGTCTTGAGTTCATAACTGGCTCAGTTTGGGGATTACAGGTGTGCACCTTCACGTTAGGCTATGAAACCTCGGGGACTGAACCCAGGGTGATGGGCGAGTCAGACAAGCACCCGCTCGACCTTTGAGGGTCTTTACCCTGACAGAAATGACAAAGCCGTACTACTTTCTTCAGGATGGGTGCTGGGATGCCTCTCAGTGGAACACTGTCATACACTAACTGCTGTTTGGGAAAAAAGAATTCTGTTTCCAACTCAATTAGCAGTGACTGCACCTCAGACAAACCCCCGTTGACTGTTTCCACCACTGTGAAGCTTTTATGTACCAATTAAGTTTGAAGAATATTGAGCAGCTGGTCCTTGCTCAACACGGTATGCCAGACATCGATGACTCCCCAAGGAAGAGCGGATAGGGAGTGGGAAGGGGGAGGAGGGGAGAGAGGAGGGAGGGAGGGGATCTGGGGTTGGCATGCAAAATGAGAAATAATTTTTTAAGTAAAACAAGAATATTGAGTGGGAGAACATTACTATGTGGCCTTGCTGCACTGTAACACGTGTGACTTCCAGTGGGGACAGAGAGTGAGTGTCCCATACATCTGCTTCTCACTGAGCTTCTTGGAGTCATGCTCTCTGGGCACGTAGGAAATGCATCTCTTACTGGAGTCATGCTCTCTGGGCACGTAGGAAATGCATCTCTTACTGGAGTCATGCTCTCTGGGCACTTAGGAAATGCATCTCTTACTGGAGTCATGCTCTCTGGGCACGTAGGAAATGCATCTCTTACTGGAGTCATGCTCTCTGGGCACGTAGGAAATGCATCTCTTACTGGAAACGGTTCTCTTTGCTTCCTCACCAAGACAACTCATGTTCACTGGCCAGGGGAAAGCACTCGTTGTTTTTAACCTTCTTAGCTGGTGTTCAAAAAAACAACAAGCGTATTTGAAGCTATGTGTTCTGATTAGCAAAGGGAACTCACCTCCCCTGGTGTCCTCTCCAAACACATTTAGTTGATCATCACCCTGTTTTAAAAACAATCAAAGCATTGGACAGGAACATTAGCAGTTACGTTTAAACTCCTTGCTAACATTAAATGCTTGACATTTGAAACAACCCCATTAAGGGAAGAATTTCCAAACACTTGTATAGAAGTGAAAGAGAATTTCATCTCCTTGAGGCAGGACCAGGGCTCCTCTCCACCCCCACACCCGTGTGTCTAGGCTGGGTGTGGTATCCCTCCATATAGAATGAACTCCACTAAGTCAGTTTGTGCATTAGAGTTAGATCTTAGACCCACAGCCATTGGCCTCATATATTGTCCCAGTCACACCATTGTCACCTATACTAAGGGAGTCTAGTTTGGTCTTACACAGGTTCCCCATTTGTCAGACCTGAGTCAGTGATCTCTCATTAGCTCAGGTCAGCTGATTCTGTGGGTTTCCCCATCGTGGTCTTGACTCCTTTGTTCATATTATCCCTCCTCCCTCACTTTGACTGTACTCCAGGAGCTCAGTCTCATTCTTTTGGAGCATAAATTATGTGTGGACAAAAGAGTTCGCTTCAAGAAGACAAAATTCTTCAATGTTAGAAGGTAATGGATAGGCATGGTCTCAGCTGTTTTATGAAAACTCCCTAATTTAAAACTGATATTGGCATGTTTTGTTTTTTTTTTCCAGTAAAAGGTCAAGTAGTAAGCATTTTGATGTGAGCCTCTGTCCCTGGCCATCACTACAGTTTGTTAGTTCTTAGGCATAACACGAGGAAAGATTAAACGATCATTCTTTTTTTCTGGAATCTATCTCTCTCTAAAACTCGTTGTACCTTTGGCGAGGTCACTGTTTTCCTTAAAGAGCAGCCCAGTGCATTAGGGGAAACATGCTTTTACAGAGTAAATTTGTTGAGTATTCTCATCACCATCCACATCGGTGCCTGCCTTATTTTCCTACTTCCTTACCCAGAGGTTACCACACGCGCAGGCTAGTTTTAACTGTCAACTTGACACAGCCTGGAGTCATCGCTGAAAAGAGTCTTAATAGTAGTTACTTAGATGGGGTTGGCCCATGGAATCTGTAGGGAATCGCTTTGTTCTTAATTGGTTAGTAAGATTTAGTCCACTACGGGTGGCACCATTCCCTAGGTTGTGTCCTGAACTGTATTGGAGTGAAGAAGGGCAGCTGAATAAAACAATCCACCAACAATGCAACCACGTGGCTTTTGCTTCTCTTTGCTCTTGGCTGTGGATGTCACGTGACTGGGTGTTTGCCTTCTCAGTGGTGGACTTACACCTGGGATTGTAAGCTGAAGAGATTCTTTCCTCTCCAAAGTAGCTTCTAGTCATGGAATTTAATCACAGCCACAGAAATGATGCTAGAATGCCATGTATAGGTGTCTCTTTCCAGGTACACGAAAAAGTGAGTTCCAAATATTCAAGGATTTCAAGGATACAAGTGTGTGTGTGTGTGTGTGTGTGTGTGTGTGTGTGTGTGTGTGTGTGTGCGCACGAGCTGGTCTATTGTATTATGGAGAATTTTCTGTCAATGCAGGATATTCTCAGCATGGTAGTCTTGGTTGCACAGTATTCTATTTTGTGATTGGGACCATAATTAATTTTATGAGACAGGGTTTCTCTGTATTGTTTTGGAGGCTGTCGGACCAGCCTGGCCTTGAACTCACAGAGATCTGCTTGCCTCTGCCTCCAGAATGCTGGGATTAAAGGTGTGTGCCACCACTGCCGGGCCATAATTAATTTTTAACCTGCTTTTTATTGATGAGCAGAGCTGTTCTCATTCTGATTGTTTTAGGGAGGCTGCTTCAGTGAGTGAATTCGCATAAAGACAAGGTCGCACAAATATTCCTGCAGGGCAGGTTCTAGAATTGCAAATTTGTGGTCACAGATTAAATGAATTAATAATTTTGATAGATTTTTTTTTTTTGCTAAGCTGGTCTCTGTAGAGGTCACAGTGTTCTGCAAGGACAGCATCCACGGCACTGTCCCCAGGCAATTCTCTTGGATTCTAGAGTCAGTTGAATGACGGGTTGGTTACATGAACCCCAACTCCCACCCCCAATCAGGCAACCTGCATGGAAAGCACTTTGTCTAAGTACAGGGCCTTGGCACCTTGTTAGAACCCGAACCTTCGGGGCGTCTTTACTGCTTGTCTCCTTAGATTTGCCCTTGTCCCTGGAGCAACTGCAGGAGGAGGGGACTCTTAGTGCGGTGGTTATCCAGGGATGGGACACAGTCACATTAATTAATGCTGGCTGCAAAGGCCAACAACCGCAGAATTGCTTGGGCGCCACTCACTCCCAACAGCTCCCTCACTGAAACGGCCACCCCAACGGTGGGGGTGGGGGTGGGGTGATTCCATCCACTCCTGCCACGCCCTCCCCCTTCCCATTCTGAAGATGAAGAAGCTGAGAGGCCTCTGGCGGTGCTACCGTGCCCCTGGCGAGGGCAGCAGTGGAAGGAGACCCATGCCTTCACCACCTTGAGCAGCTCCAAGGATTTGGTCCCATCAGTGGATGACGGTGGTCTTCTGCGGCCCTCTGGACCTCTGGCCTCAGCACTCAGGATCCGCAGCCTGGGCCCGACTTGGGATGACTCTACGATGATACAGGTGGAGCTCTGGAGCTCCCTCCAGGATCACCAAAGCATGGATGGGGCAGTTCTGCTGAGCTTTCACCCCTGGGCTTCTGACCTGAGAGCAAAGCCATTCCCAGCTTTGCCCGAGAACCTCAGGTGCAGCTTGCAGGGAAGCCAGTCTACTGCACGGCTCTGCAGCAGAGAATGCACTTGTTCAGAGTGCGCACGCAGCAAGAGGGCCACTAGCATTGGGTAGAGATCGGCTGCCAATCAGAATATGTTCTCCACTGGCCAGACAGTTTTTGCATACAGCATCTAGGCGGTGCCAAGAGGAAACTGAGTCCACAGCCCGTACCCTTAGGTGTTGTTAGACTCTAGGACGACACACTGACAGGGGTGTCCCATCGTTCCTGTTTATGGTAGCATGTCTCGGGAGCTTGACCAAAGTTAATGCGAATTCCTAAAACAATGGACCACACTGCAAGAGGGTCCTCCTCCTCATCTCTCTCTGTTTTTATTCACACCTGTCTATTCTGTTTGCCCCCAGGCGCTGGCTGAACCCCACTTTATTTCTATTAGCTCACTGATAGTGAACAGGTTTCTGGGGACATAGAGGGAATGGCCATTTGTTCTTAGGAATGTCATGCACAAACATGAAAACTCAGATGAAGGAAATGTTTGGCTGAGGGTATAGTTCTCCAGTGGTTCTCAGTATATCTCACATTTTCAGGGTAAATCTTCTAGAAATAGAATTATAGGATCAGCGGCAGAGTGCTTCCCTAGGACACCCAAGGCTCTGGTTTTTATTCTCAGCCCCAGAAAATAAAACCAACCTCTTGCCTAGAGTTTGTGAAGCCACACATTCAATTCACATCAAAACCAGCCAACAAACCAGCCAGCTAGTCAGTCAGTCAGCCAACCAACTAACCAACCAAACAACCAGTCAGCCAGAAAGTCATCCAGCCAGACAGACAGAAAGCCAGCCAACCAGCCAGATAGCCAGACATCCAGACAGCCAGACAGCCAGGCAGCCAAACAACCCACCCACTAACCAACCAAGCAACCAATCAGCTAACCAGCCAGCCAACCAAGAGTAAGGGCAGGGTTGTAGCTCAGTGGTAAAGTACTCTCTTGGCATGCAGATAGTCTTGAGTTTAGAGTCCAGTCATTGCAAAAACAGTGTTTATTTGGGTTGGGGACATAGTTCTATGGTAGAGGTCTTTTCTTACATGCTCAAGGGCCCGAGTTCAGTCCTTAGTAATGGAAAAGAAGAAACGAGGAGAGGGAGGAAGGAAGGAAAAGAGTGAAGAGGAAGAAGGAGAGAAGGAAAAGAGGAGGAAAGAAAATGGCCTCTTACACACAGACACACACTCAGGAGGGGTGAAAGGAGGCACTTGCGTTAGTAAGCAAGTTTCTAGAGGCCTCTGGAAGCACAGTCTTGCCTCTCTCCACGCTAGGTACATTCTACATGGAAGGTGCTGACCTGGGGATGCCTGCTGGAAGATGAGGGCAAGTGCAGCCTTATCCTGGACCATCTGATGTGTTATTTATTTATCCTCAGTTGCACTGAGGTTTCATCTCTACTGAGGCGAGACTTGAGAAATTGCACTGCTCTAACCACCAAAATTCTACCGAGTGCCATGGACACTGCCTTGGGTTATAGCTTTTTACCGCGTTGATTCCATTCAGCCAACCCTTTGTCACTTTGAGTCTGGGGTCCCAGGTGCGCACATCTGCACTTCACTTCATTGAGGGATCTAACAGTGGACCATCAGTCCACTGCTCGGCTGAGAAGGAGAGTTTCTGAAATCTCCATCAGGAAAAAAGAAAAAAAACCCAAATGTATAGGAAATGGTGTGCGCTTTATAGTTACACTCGAGAATTTAGTCTACAGCAAGCCTCATTTGCTGTTCTCGGAAGCGTGCACGATTAGGAGACTGCTCACTGGGGGAGTGCTGGTATACCTGGTAAACAGAGACAGGAAAATAAGGTGTGTGCCCGACTAACCCTTTCCCCGCCGCTGCAAATTACAGGTCCTCCAAACGAGGTTTACAGGCCTCCCTCTCTAGGGGTCAGCACGTTTCTTTTTTTTTAATGTGTGAATTGAAACGCTGGTGTTTATAGTCAGTGATTTTAAGGGAAACATTTTCTCAGTGGTCGACAGGTTCCTGATCCCATAGCCACGTGTTTACATCACCTCGACTGTCTCGTAGAAGGCAGGTTGAATTCAATCAATGAATGAATCTGTTTCTCTTTCCTCACATACTGTATGCAGCCCCGCTACGAAGAAAGATGCCGAGAGGCCGGCCGGTGGGCTAAGCGGAGGGGCACCGCTGTTCATTTTAAAGGTTTACGCTGTTTTTATTTAACACGCGAGTGTCTGTTTGAATGCATGCTGCCAGAAGCCAGCAGAGGACATCAGATCACCTGGAGCTGGAG